GAGCGAAGATAAGTAAGTAAGTAGAGGATAAGTAGACGAGCAGAAGAGTTGACGTATCACGTAGAGCGAGAGGAGATAACCGCAGCAGCCCGCGGCGACGAAGTATAGTGCCTCGGGCGGCTCGCTGAGAAATTGAAAGAAAGTTTCCGGTGAAAGAAAATAATAACCTCGCTTAAATCGTATTACCTTCTTAAACATATTAAAAATTCTAGAGGTGCTGGAGTTTAGTGTGGTAACGTATTGGATCCGGATATGTTAAGAACATATACTGTAAAATTCAAAAGCACTACTGTACCCGCCTAATTCTATCGTACAAAGTCGCGCTGCTAAATGCGCGTCTCGATCATAAAATCGTGCTCAGCAGTCTCAGCTGACGCATGAAATGCCGAAGATGGCATTGGTTTTTCAGCTTCACATAAGACCTCGAGAGCCAATTTGGCAAGTTCAATGAAGAGCAGTGGTTTTGTTTAAAGGTCGCCTCGAACGAACATGTTCGGACATCTCACACATACCCTCAGCACGGTCTCAGGAACATTTTAAATTCGAGAACCTGACTCTAAAGGTTTTACCGGCACGCGATAAACAGGGGGTGCTGAAATGACCATCTTGGATTACCCCTTTGACTACTACAGATGTACGACAGTAACGGTGTGATTGTGCAGTCGGGTACAGCTCTGGTATTATCTGGCCGAACAGCGGTTTTAATAAATTACTTCTGAATTTACTTTCAACCCCTCAAGTGAGTTCATACTACGAGTGCTGTGCTGTTAAACAGGCTAACAGCCACAGGCGTTTCCTTTCCTTCCCCCCCCCAGACACACGCGAAGAACCACCATGGTTTCACCAGTAAACCAAACCAACGAACACGGTCGTGAAGAGCGCCCTCGACGTGGTGCAGCACAGGAGCAGCGTGGTCAAGACGATCACACTCCACTTGAAGACGATCGTGGACACGGTGGTCGCGAGCTCCAACGCGAAGATGACCGTGCACGCAGAGAGCGTGACCGATGTGATTGTTATGTTGGTGTCGCTGACTCGCGGTACGAGCGAGTGATCAAAACATTCCAGCTCGAAGCGTTCAATGGTTTAGTGGATACGGGAGCCCTCGATTCTGGCGTAAACGCGTGGCTAATGCGTTTCGAAGCTTTACTGGGAATGTAAGAGGACCTGCACAGCCTGAAACTACCCGACCGCATGAGAAATGCTTTACTTTCAAGTATCTGGGAGGCGTAGCCAGCCAATGGTACGTTGCCAGCATTTTTGCTTTGCTCGTGCTCGTTTGATAGTGTATGCCGCGCAATGAAAAAGATATTCGGCAACAAACTATCTAATCAGCAGATTTCCCTGATGGTGGCTAATGAGAGAAAGCAACCGTCTGAGACTTACCTGTGTGTATACCTTTAGCTTTTCTACGAGTGTTGCTTCCGCTGCATTGTGTCAAAACTCTATCGAAGACTAGCATCAACATTTAACACGCCCGCCATCCGCCCAAGTCACGGAGACTTAGCCGGACCGTATTAGCGGTGCTATCTTGGTAGTCGCTACTACTACGCTCTGAAGTGGAAGGGCCACACATCAGTTAAGTTCCTTTAAGAAAAGATCGACGCTGCCCGCTTCTTTCAAAAGTACATGAGCCTCGTCAATCGGTGCTTTTGGTTAAATCGACGGTACCAAGATCTACAGATGGGATAATGGAGGAGAATTTCTGCTAGCAAGTTTCGCAAGCTCTACCGTAGCGAAGACATAGTGCTAGAGATGTCTGAACCAGACGTGCACCACCAAAATGGAGTCATCGAGCGCACCCACCTAACGATTGCTGACGCAGCTCGCGAGCTCATGTTGCAAGCAAAACTCCCTCATCACCTTTGGGAATATGCTGTTCGTAGCGCCGTCTACGCTCGGAACCGGGACCTTTCACGCACAGACAACGAAAATACCCCTTTTGAGAAGTTTTGATGTCGTAAGCCCGACATGAAATTGATGAAAATATTTGGCCAGCGGTGGGTGGTGCTCCTACCGCCCGAGAAGAGATCTACGCTGCACGAATTTCGGCCTAGGGGAAGAGCCGGAATCTTCACCAGCAGTGACCCTCAACACAAAGGCTTCTTTGTCTATGTGACTGGCCTCGGTCACCAAGTTATACACATTCGGAGTGTCGTATTCTTGAAGCCTCCCAAGTATTCAAACGCCTTCTGCTGTTCTCTCACCACGAGACGACCCACTCCGTATCATCGGGGAAGATGGCGAAGTTAGTGATAGTGAGCGAAATGACGAAGAACTAGCCGCTCCGTCACAAAAGAACAACATTGACCCACCTCTCAGTCAAGATCAAGATCTCGAAACCGCTGCTCCGAGCGCATATCCAGCCGAAACGTCAGTTTGGTGCTCAGTGCCACCCACGTCACTTTTCGGGAGCTTATCCAGGAGCCAATTAATTTGAAGGAAGCTCGATCCATCGAATTGTTGCTCTGTGAAAGAAGGCAATTCGAGACGAGGCTGCTGCTTTACAAGCCAATGACACCTACGATCTGGTTGATCCATCTCCTGAAGATCACGTCATTGGGTCAGCTAGTGTATTTCGTGTCAAGGTAAAGGAAAATGGTGACCTAGACCGTCTAAAAGCACGTATTTGTGCTCAGGGCTTCCCGAAGGGCTACTTTAAAACTTATGTCCCAGTAGAAAAGCTAAACTTGTCCTTCCAATGGCGACCCAAGTAGGCATGCACGTACGCCAAGGTGATATCCCGATAGCAGACGTCAAGGCTGGCCTGCCCGAGCATATTCACATGCGTTAGCGCGCGTTTTCGGGGAGGGAAGTCGAATCAAAGTTTGCGAAAGCCTCATATGAACTCTAACAGGCAGGATATGAGTGGAACGTGGCGACGGACAGGTTTCTACTCAAATACGGTTTTGTTCCGCCTCGTGAAGACCCGTGCGTGTACATTCATCGTACTAACGACTTAATTGCTGTCATCTACGTAGATGATATTTTCATTGGATACCATGACGAACAGAGGCTACAGGAATTGATGCTAGCACTTCACGACAAATACGGCATCAAAGACTTAAAAGAGATCGGCTGGTTTCACGGGGGGTCTGGATTAATATAGATGCTGTGCAAGGAATCACAGCTCTCGACCAATCTCAATTCGCATTGGAGATACTACGTCGATTTGGAATACAGGACTGTCGCCCTAGGGAGACACCGATGGACAATGGTGTGATTGCCGTTCGGCAAATGAAGAATCTGCTGGTGATGTGTCCTATCGCAAGCGGTAGGGGCGTTGCTTTATCGCTCCCTTGCTACACACCCGGGTATCGCGTTTGCGGTCAACCAAGTGGCTGCCTATGCCTCTGATCCTTTTAAGATACATTGGGTAGCTGTCAAGAATATTCTCCGCTACATAGCTGCATTCTAGATGATGTCACAAGTGCCTTACATACTGTCCAGCAGCAAATATGCTCGCTGATGGTCTCGCAAAAGCATTGTGGGCCACGAGTTTTCGTGATATTCGTGCAGCACTAGGTATCCAAGATCTTTCACCCACCACTGGCGGGAAAATGCTGAAATAAAAAGCTCGGGTGACTCCTTGGCCTCGCCAGATGTACGACAGTGATGGTGTGATTGTGCAAGTTGGGCACAGCTCTGATATTATCGGGTCGATTAGCGGCTTAAATAAATCACTTCTAAATTTACTTTCAACCGATCAAGTAAGTAATACGAGTACTGTGATGTTCAACGGGGGAACTTGGTTCGCTTCATCTTCGTTCCAGCTGAGTCAGCAGTACAGCAACAGACAGGATGTAACTACCACACGGCAAATAGATGTCTAGTAGAGGACGCAAATGGTTACCCGTACCCGTTCGGGTAATGTCTAATCGCTACCACGGGTATGGCTAACCGAAAGTTTGCCTCTCTGAAAAATGGACGGGTACGGGTAACCGACTCCGAGGATCGGTTGGTTATGGTTGGCCGGGATGTGTATTCGACGATTGTTTTTACATGATTTTCTTTATTAAGCGCCTTCAAGGTTGCTTATATTGAGCGGAAATATTGAACAAGAAAATGGCATTTCACTTTTTTTTGCTTACATAAATTACACGTAATTTTCGGTTAACCAATCACTAATTTCGGCCATGCTCGAACGTTGGCCGAAACTCGATGACCAGGGCTTTCGGTTAGCCGGGAAAGTACGTTTGCGACATCTGGTGTCTACACATGACGGGTTAATACCCAAGATACCCCATAAGTCTTTAATAGAGCTTTCATTTAACACGTTAGTAAGGATGCTACAAATATCTACCAGCAACATTTGTTGGTAGATATTTGTAGCCTTCTCTTAGACATTTAATGTCTCATCCTATAATCTTTCGAACATCACTTCAGACTGAAGTTCAGTGATCGACTGACCTGAATATATATATGAGTTAGTCGAACACTGAAGTGATACAGTACATGTATTGAATATATATACAGTATGAGGGGCAGAGCCTGTGGTGAGACAGCCGATGCAAGTGTGCCATTTAGATGGCTCATCAATTTGGATTTCCCAAATCCTTTTAAATAGGAATAAAAATGATTTACAGCTGGGAATTCCAGCGCCAATATTTTTTAAAGTTTTAATACTTTAAAATACTTGTCTTTATTATTTTTAAACAAGTATTTTTAAAACGTCTGCAATCTTTGATCGACGACCTGATGTCTCACCCGAACAATCACCATGAGCGAAGTCGCATACACCACTGTACCTCAGAACAAGGAATTTCCACATCTCCTCCTTGGGGACGTCGTGACATTGTCTTCAGAGAACGAGATGCATGAACACTTGCCCCTGTTCAACTTGGACATGTCGTGGATCGTAGAGTTAATCAACAACCAACGACGCACATCCTTCGGATCGATCTTTCGCTTGATCGCTGCCTGGTCGAGACTCGAGCACCCGAGTCCAGTCGTCATTCCCGAATTCTCTTTGAGCCCCTAAGTCGACGCTCAATAGTATAATGGTTGCCTGGCAGAGCTTAGCAGTCATCGCTGCTGCTTCCACCCTTGCCATCGGTGCAGATGCCAGAAAACTTCCATCTGGTGTTTGCTACGCCCCGTGGCACCACCATAATGTCAATTGGGGCGTACTCGCTGGCGATATGGCGCAAGTGTCCCAGCACTTCTCCAGTATCCGCACATACCAAGCGCAGTTCAGCGGCGTGAACGCCATCACAATGGCAGCAGCCGCAGGCCTTCACATCGCCGTCGGCGTGCAGCTCACAGACCCTCGCTGGATTGACTCTGAGATCCAGGCAGTGTGCGACGGCTACGCGAAGAACTCGTGGGCTGTTGAAGCTGTTTACGTCGGCAACGAGGATCTCAGAAACGGGAACTTTGGCAAGTATTCGGCCGATCAGATCGCTGGCTACATCCGTCGCGTGAAGAGCTGCGTGGGCAACACGCCCGTTGGCTCCGCTCAGCGTATTAACGAGTGGCTGGGCGCTGACAGCGCCTGGACGTTGGCTAACGCCTGTGATGTTATTGGTGTTAACATCCACCCATTCTTCACGCCGGGCTCGCAATCGGCTCTGAAGAAGTTGGAGGCTCAGTGGGACCAAATGGTGTCGAAATTCGGCGCCGCTAAGGTTCGTCTTACTGAGACGGGCTGGCCGTACGCTGGAGAAAGTTATGCTGGCAACGTCCCGTCCAAGGGCGCTATGACACAGCTCTTCTACGACTACATCTACGGGTGGTGCCCTAACAAGAGTCAGTCGTACTGGTTCATGATGTACGACACGACGGTGAGCTACACGGGCGCAGAACACGAAAAGCACTGGGGTCTCTTCGGAACGGACAAGTCGCAGCACATTAACATGCCATGATGTGGACACTTTTTTCACTTGCATTCGATAGTACTACTGTGAAAAAAATACGACGTAGTACAAAATTAGTTCAAATACTATTGTTGGAACTGTCGTCTGTGCACACCCACTGCAATGTGGAGGTTGGCTGCAGCGGCCATGTCAACGGCATTTACGCCACTCAATCGAGCTTCATAGGTACGGACACTGGAGAAGTGCTGGGATATTTGAGCCATGTCCATGGCAAAAACATTCCAGTCGACATACGGGTGGTGCCAAGGAGCGTAGCACACTCCAGTGGGAAGTTGTCGGGCATCGATGCCGACGGCGAGAGTGGAGGCAACAGCGAGGACAGCGAGAGGAAGAGAAGAAACCATGACGGCGGCTCCGAGTACAGGTGGTGGTTGGCGCAAGGCGAGAAATGAAATCAGGTTTCTGTCACTGTCACTTGGCTTTTTGCAAGTATCCTTGGGACAGGCGGCGTGAGTATTCAGATCGCTTGTCGTTTGTTGCCGTCCAAGGCTAAGCCTTGAAGGCTTGGACCAAGCCGCTGTTACAAGCGTAGCGTGATACGTTTACAAACATGGCGCATGGCTTCATGAACTGTATGCATGTATTACATTGTCGACAAAAAAGTAACACAATATGAGCTATTATTTATTCATTAATTCGTAAAATAACTGTGTAAACCGTTTGATGTCAACACATTGACCTTTCATGTTACCGTATTTTACTTAAAAATATTCTTTAATATAAAATGTGATTTGAAAGTCAGCGTTAAGAAAGAGAGAATGGAGTCTCGCGGGTGGTCAAGAACAAGGAAACTGTCGTCGAGTGTCAACGGCAATCGACTCGAGTAGAATTTGTGCACTTCATGTAGCATGCGTAAACAGAAGAGAAAAATGATCTGTGACTTAGCTATTAGTAAACTACACTCCGCGCCAGGCAACGCTGGTTCGATCAGTTTTTTAAGTTTCTGTGTAATAATAATAATAGATATTGCTGTTTACCGGTAGAGATGTCAGAGCTTTAATTGGCAGAAACACGGGCGCGCTGCAGCTCGCAATCCACCACGTGGTCACCAAAAATGACTAACTAGGCGCGAAGTGTACACCGTACTGTAGTTACAATCATTCAGCTTTTTTTTTTACAGGTCTTGACTTTACAGTCTTACTGTCCTAAAAATTCCAATTATGGCAGATTGTCCAAAGCTCAGAACTGTATCAATTAAACACCAAAAGTGTGCACCAAATCATTCAGAGCTATGTTTCGTCAATAACTAGCTTGTAAAGATTGAAAAAGCAATTACCATAAGGTACTGTAGACTGCTTGGCAGCCGACATCGGCTTAATTCGTATGCTGTGCAAATACCATATGATAGTTTTTCGATAGTAATAGTATTTTTTCTATTCAAAATAGTAGTTTATGTAGTAGCTTAGCTTTTAAAAAAGTGCTACATAATATTCTAATATTAGCTCAGAGATTTGAAAAATATTAGCGAACACGGCCTAATGCCGTGTTATTAATAGATACTTAATAGATACTAGATTAAATTTTATGATATTTCCCATTTAAGTACGTTTCTTATCATTTTGCCCGAGGGCTCATCAAAGAACTCTTTCGGTCAAGCTCTAAAGCAGCAGGAGTGATGACAGACTATGAGACTGACGAGTATTTGCTTAAGTATGTCACTGTGACGCAGACAAAGCCGATCGAGATGGAAAACTGCAAACGGTTGCAGTTGTTTTTAAAGTCGATAGAGCGAAATCAAGATATTTGCTCTTGTTATCTGCCGATAGCCTCATCCAGATCGTGCGTATCATAAACCTGGAGCATGTTAGCAGTCAACACACCACACCAACCCTGCCGTCACTCTCATAATTGTCCCGGACTCAGTGTTGATTAGTAATACTTCAGCTAGTCGATCTTTAACGACATATGATTGGTGGACTAAAACCGATAGCGCAATCTTTGAATCGTACCGTATTAGCTATTATTAAGTCAGATCTTTATTAATATCATTTTGTCAAAGAAGAAAGTATTAGATGCTATTTTTTAATGACTGGTCTACCAGGTGATATTATCACTATATTAACTTCACCAATTTTGAAAGTTACAATTAACCCCTGGCGGTGGCTTAAGTTCAATTTGATTGACATGTGAATGTAAGCTCAAAACTCTCACTTAAATAAAGTAATAACTAATTAAGAGTAGTTTAGACATACATGAGTCGCTTCAAAACTCCATTTAAATAACCTGGCGATGCTTGATAATGTTTCAGCGCTCGCGAGTGGGTACTTAAAAATGTACCGCAGTTCGCTCACAATTTTGTTACGATATGCCATGGATAATGTAGAGCAACCGGTCGCATTTGCTGTATGCTAGAACTTTATTGTTTTATCTTACTGTTGTCCGTCAAATTCAGGCTAAAGCTCATGCCGCCACCATTCATGTCAATAGTTTTAAAAAGTAACAGCGCATGGGACGATTTACGCAGCCCCTTGCGCTTGAGGGCCGTTCTTAACGAAGCGGTAGTTTTGTAGCCTAGTAGTTTGGCCCTAGACGGCCGCTGCTGCTGTCGTTAAGAATAGCTGGTGGTTTGTGGGCTGGAGTGCGAATCCATTCTCCTTTGTCATTCGCAAAACGCCCATTTCAAGATCCCGTCAATTACACACGGACCGCTGACCCCCATCTATCAACGCTAGCCTAGCGTTAAGGAGAGGTGACAGCGTTGGCACGGAGGCTCCGAAAGCTACTAGGCTAGTACCGGTACTAACTGGGCTACGCTGCGACAAGAGAAACGATGGCATGACTGCTGACTTCCGTCATTTTTTGGCGTTCGCAAGACTACCCCTTATAGGGATAGTACCTGGATTTTTTTTTTGGACTGCTAATCAATACATTTTCAAAGTAAAAAATTGAAAACCTACCCGGACACCCGCTCTAACCCCCTCGATGTTGGGCGTAGGCTGTGTCCGCTAATAACCCTCACCATAGTCTGTGAACTTGAGCTTGAGACCATCAGAGACATATGGTAGATGACTTAGCCAGCCAAAACACCCGAAACTACCGCTCGTTAAGAACGGCCTTCAGGGCCGTTCAAGGAAGCGGCTTCCGAGATTATTCAACATCTCAGTGAACAGTTGCTCACAGGTCCCTTTTGTCACAGGAAGCGAAGCAACCAGTTTAAAATAAGTTGTAAAATAAATGTATTCATAGGAAGGCTAAGCTTGATTTAAATATACTAACTATAAGTTAAGTATCGTAAAACTATGTCCTCAGCCAATGGTTCGTTTCTGAAGTGTGACATGTCACACTCCATGTAATTAGGGGTACACTTTTGGGTACGTACCCCGTTACATCCTCCCCTACTTAGGTTCGGTTTACGGACCAATCAAAATGAGGAAGTGTACGTCAAAAGCTTTAATTCTCAAAGTCGAAAGACATCGACTTGGCTGTGAGAACGCGGCGGAGACTCACTTCATAGCTAAAGCTATGAGCAGCACTTGAGCGCTCTTCTTTTCGGTCTTCACTTCGACCTTAAGCATGCCCCGTGGTACTGCGAAGAGCGGTGCGAAAGCGCACTCAAAGGCTGCTGCCGGAAAGGAGAAAGCCAAGAGCACTAAGCCTCGCAGCAAAGTCTCTGCGCCCCAGGAGACCACCAAAGTGGATTTGTACATTCGGTGACGAGGCTGCGAGCAAGCGCGCAAGCAAAACGCCGCAGTACGTCACCTTCGGTCTCTGCAGACAACCGACCGATCCCGCGATTCGTCGAATCAGAGTTCAGTCCAGGTAGTGAAGACGAGGCTGAGGCCTGGAGCATCCACAATGTTCCTGTGGTCTCCGTGGGAGGGCACGCTCCAGTGCCCAACGAGCACGTGTGCACTCGGCCGTAGTGATCACGGTGATCACAGGGCCAAGACGCCTGTGGGCGCTGCAAATCCTGCCGTCAAGGATAAGTGCTCGCTCAAAGCTGGCATCGACGAGGAAGATTAACCTCTCAAACACCTATCGTTCGCCGAGGGTCTTGCCCGTGCTAAGGCTGCCAATGCCATAGCCGAAGACGTCAAGCCCTCTAAGAAGCGCACGGCTTCGAAGTCCCTACTCCGCGAGGAGAAGAAGACTAGTTACTCGTATCCGAGCCTCACTGGCTCCTCTGATGAAGAGGATCAGAAGGAATATAAGGGTGTCATCTATGAGCCCCGGGAGATCACGAACGATTTCGCCCAACAGCAGGAGAGCTTCCCGTTATCCGGGAGCTGCCACAAACTCAAGATGTAGTTTGCCTCCCGAGGGAAGCTCTGGGGCTTACCTCTTCTTGGAGATTCTCGTCGCTCCTCGTGGGCATATCGGTAGCCAAAATTGCTTAGGGCGTTTACGAACGTGCCCTGATCATGAAGGAGCAGTTGATCACCCACAACTTGGAGGCGGCCCGTTGCGTAATTGCACCGAAACCCTCTCAAGGACTTCACGACTTGTCGTAAGAAGCTTGAGAGCCAGGGTGGTCTCTTACCTCTCTGGGGCCACCCCTGGGATCTTCCCGAGAACTGTCCGAGCTGGAGCTCGTGCGAGGACATATTTTCAGCGTGGATTGAGTCTCTCAAGTGCTCACCCTCGGAGTTACGGGAACTGCATGAAAATCAGCTGCTGTCCCGCATCCTGGACCAGCTATTCTTCGTGTCCGGTTCGCCCATTTGGCCAGCGAGCGCATGATGCCAAGGGACCTTCTAAAGCGCACGGCTTCTAGCACTCACGATAAGCGCGGGTACGGGGTGTCGTGAACGTCCGTACCACATACGGGTAAGAAGCTCCGGACAACTTACGAAGCTGCCGCCGCTTCTGTTTCCAGATTGCGACAGCCTTCGGGAAGTCTATCAGGAGCCGCTCAATCGGCTCCCACGAGTCTCGGAGTGGCCCTAACCCCTCCACTTGACGAGGAGCTGGCGCTTTCCGCGAAGCTGCCGCTCCTGTAGAAGCCGCACCATTTGGTAGTGGACTTCTCCGTTCCGGTCAAGCGAGGG